ATATATATATATATATATATAAGGTGTGTGCGTTTGTGTGGGCACCCATAGCTCTGTGCATTCGTCCTGCGCGTCGTTCGCGCTAGGCGTTCGTGTGTTCCCCGCGGCCGGCTGCCGCGCTGCGCAGCCCCACCACTCCATCCGGTGTTACCTGCCACGACTGGAGCGCTCTACTGTAGTAGTCGCGTGTCAGTGGGTCCCAAAACATGTCCAAGTTGAAGCTGTAGAACAAATCGCTCTTGTCATCGTATACCCAGTCGTTGGCACCGTCAATGGTAACACCAAGCTCCGCCGCGGTCAAGTGTGCTGGCCCCTCCACGTCGCCGCGCACGCTGCGCAAGATGAAGTCGAGCGGGTGGCTCCTCTCCCCTGACGCGTGGTCGTTCGTGCGTCTCTCACGTTCGTGACTGCGCCGCTTCTCCAGCAACTGAGATGCCTGGCTGCGAATGGAGTACGGGTAAGAGCTCAGGCAGAGAGAGGTGATGCAGGCGCCGAAGTCAAGGCAGACGGCGGCGATGTAGACTCTGTAGCCCCACTCGTAGCCGGCGTTGCATTCACTAGGATTGTTGTGCAGCGCCTCACACTCACACCGGTCACAGTGTGTATAGTATGCGAATAGAACACAGTTCGCGATGCCACACGGCAGCGCCGTGGCGAGGAAGAACATCGCCACCAGGGCGCTGCGGGAGCGTGTGGGGCGACACGACATGCGCAGTGTGAAGAAGAGCGCCACAACGACGCACAGAAGCTGCACAGCACCCAACACCCACATAGTGATGGTGTAGGCGTTCGCGGAGGACTCTGTCATCTCACACACGATCTCACCAGTGATACTGTCCTCCAAGAGACGGGGAAATTTGGAGCTTGTACGGTGCAGACAGAGGTTCCCCACACTCCTACGGCATGCAAGGAAGAATCCAACCGAGTGGTAATGCACGTTGTATGACACAGCAAACCATTCCGTGGTGCACATCGCGAACAACTGACAGAGCAGAGAGGGCACAAGCAGACAGAGGAGGAACATGACGTAGCGATTCAGTGTGTTGACGCTGTTGTGTTTCAACTCCCTGTACAGTACCTCATTCTCAACCTCCTCACGGTTTTGCCGCTGGGCCATATTAAGTGTCATCCTCGTATTTCCGAGGCGGTGCGGGATAATCAGCTGCGACGGGATGTTTGTCGGGGTAACGGGCTCAAAAGGAGATATCGCTCCGTTGCATTCATGATTCAAGTTGCTCGTGTTGCCGTTCCACTTAATGGTGTTGTTGTTTCCGTTCTCGCACACAGGCTCATTCCGCGTCACATCGCTGTGCAACGCCATTGGCGGGGAGGCACACGCTGGACCCGCCGCTCACCTCCACGTCTTCAGTAGGTGTATAGTTGTGTGCGGGCAGATCTGCAGCGCCACAGGAGAACCCTGGCACCTAATAGAAGAATGGAGAGCGAGCGAGCGAAAGAAGAATCATACAGGAGTAAAACAACAAAAAAAATATGAGTGGCACGCTCCCATAGACATAGCACATGTTATCTGCATGGTGTGTTCACTGTTATCCCCTCACATTGCCGCTTGCGCCTTTGGCGTTGTGCGGAGGAGGAGGAGGGGCGGGGCGTCCACCCAAACCCCCAAGCGCCGGCACACGCCAAGTCAAAGCGGTACGCAGCTGCGATGAAACAGGCACTGAGGGAGTCACACCGCGGTAAACAAAGACAAGACAGCTGAGAATCTGCCAACTGTTTTTTTTTTTATCTCTGAATAAAATATAACCCATTTCTTCGCCGTTAGCTGCCAACACCCATTCCCAAGTAATGAATAATTAAAAAGTCAAATGCCTCGCCAACGACAGATTGGGGCACGGCCACAGTTGTCGAGGCGTTGTGATAACAAGTCACGCTGCCCGCGTCATCAGCGTCGTCAGTGCAGAGCAGCTGCTGCAGTAGTACGCCACTGTTATCTACGCCGCTGAGCAGGGAGGCGACGATCTGTGTTGCCTCCACGCGCTCTGCGCAGCTCAGTTGAGGTGGTGCAGCCGGTGGCCCCGCCGGCGACGCGGCCGCTGCTGCTGCTGTCCTTAACGACAGACAACAAAGCGACTCGTGCAAGAGATAAAAAAGATGCCTCGCGACCGCGCGTAGGACGTCAAAGGTTACCGCCCCATCGTGGGCGCCAACGTCACTCGTTAAACCCACCGGCACGCGCCAACGCGTCATGCGGACGACGCCATGAAGCGCTCGAAGCAGCGGAAGCAGCAGCGCAACGAGCGCTGTCATGGCCTCTTCTGTCGCAACCGCCTCACCACCGAGGCGCGCGTGAATCCAACTAGGGGTGAGCTGGAGAAGGTACGCCGGCACCACACGTTGAACATCCGCGATATCAGACCGGCCACAGTCGCCGCTGAGCGCCGGATCCGGTGCGGCAACAGAATAGGCGCATGCGTCGTTGACGTTGTGAGGCCCAGGTGTAGCGATGGTATGGAGCCGAGGCCCCTCCGCGACGGTGTGCAACAGTGACGGATGCCACCGCTGCAGTGTGGCAGCCGATAAGGCCACCATGTGTTGAGAGCCTTCTTGTTGCCCCAATAGCGGTGAAGCTGCACACTTCCCCATTCCTTCCCCAGTGCTCGAGAAGCCACCAGATGAAAGAGGGGCTGTTGCTGCTGCTGATCCTGCTGTGATGTCGGCGATGTCCTTCTGTATGGCATCCAGGAGGCTCGGCTCTTGAGGGAAAAAGCGCTCGCGCAGCACATCAGCCTCCTTGGCGAGTGACATGGCATTAGCCTCGTGCTGCCTGAACCACTCCCGCTGCCGCGAGACGCCTGTGTAGATACGGTACAGGAGCACTTTGAGCTGCGCCGTCAGCGGGGCCTCATCGGCGCTGTAGGCCGATGGCGCGGTACTGTCAGCGTGTCTACCCTTCGGCGGCGGCTGGCTGCGCTGCTGGGGCGCAGTGTGGCGCTGGTGTGCGTCCATTTCACTTCACACGGCCAGCTGCAGGCAATGCATGGGTGAGTATTTGTTTGAGAGAAAAACACAAACAAAAGGAAGAGCAGACAGCCGAGCAGCGTATCATGCAACGCACCAGAGCTCTTGGAAAGGCGAGAAAGACGAGCTGCAGATCTCATTACCTCCCAAAAGAGGCGGGCAGCACATGACGGGCACCACCAATCCACCTACCACGCACACACTCATCCACAGAACCACAAGAATTGCGTCATCATCAGCCAGTCGAAGAGACGAAAGTGCGCCCGCAAAAAAAAAGTCAACTAAAAAAGGATGACGAAGCCATTTGAGGCATCGGAACACACTCTTCATTCGCCCTTTCCCCCCTCCATAAACACACACACACACACACACACACAGAGACTCCCACATACACACAAACACGCATACGCAGCTATTTCTCTCTCTTCTCTCTTCTTCCATCCCTCCCTTAGCTCTAGCATCCGGTGAGCAAACACTATAAAAGGCCGTAATGTGCTACTGCAGACCTGTACACACACACGCATATATATATATATATATATCCTACAGGGGGCGCAGAAACAATCACCACAGTGTGGGGAAAATTAATATGTTTCTGTTCGTCTGTGTGTGTGTGTGTGTGTGTGTCTGTGTGTGTGTGTCACGAAGAGGCACCATGTAAATTCCCTATATTCCCTACATATACAAATATCGGCGAGACAGCTGCAGCAGCAGTTGGGGATCAACACCGCACCCCATCACTGTCCCCTTCACCATCATTTTCTTTTTTCTCTTTCCTTGCTGCTGCACGTGTAAATCCCCTTCACCGCCCTCCACCTTGCGGGATTTGCGCATGCGGGTACTCTGCCTTCCACGTGTCCTCCTGCACCTGCGAATAGTCCCAGTATTTCGCGCATTCCTTTGCCCACCACACCCGGCGCATCATGGATGTCTCCTTATTGTTCGCCACGTTGGGGTACGCTAGTGGGGCCAGCGCAGAGCCGATGCAGAAGCCAAGGACCGAAAAGCCGGAGAAGGTGCTGAAGAGAACGAAGCCGGTGTTGCGGCGTGACACGACGTAGTAGGAGCCCACCACAGTTGAGAGTGTGGCTGCCGTGAGGGCAAATGTGAGTTGTTTGCGGCGCACGCGCCACTGCTGCCCCCACACGCCGCCTTCCTTCTCAAACCGCAGGCAGTCACTCGGGTACATCATCGGGAGGTCCGACACAAGAATCTTCCCGTTTTTGCCCGTCATTCTTTGTTTTGCTCTTCCTGGTGTTGTTGTTGTTGTTGTTTGATGTTAGATGAAACGATATCGCGTGGGCGGCACTACAGGTAGCGCGGTGTGGGACTACTGTGTAGTCTCGTAGCGGTCCGGAGAGGACGAGGAGAGTAAAGAATAGGAGAGAACGCAAGAGAACAAACAAAAAAAAAAGGCGATGACCGAGACGAATAACTCCACACTCTTGATACATCTACAGCCCATAAGCTGGTGCTTCTTGCTGCAGATGCATATTTGGTTAATTACCCTCATATCTTTCCTTCAATTTCAGATTCGACAAGCACACACGAAGGTGCGTGTCTTTTTATTTTTTGTTTGTGTTTTTTTTTTTCTTTCTTTCCTACGGCCACCACTTTTCCCTCGGCGCTGAAAAGATTTGACCTTCGCTTATACATCTCCCACGGGCACACACTTCGCTTTCCTTGTGGTTTTAGTCTTTTTTTTT